GGCAGTGTTGCATGACAGCGCAAATGTCAAAGTGTGACAGTGCTGAAAGCTGAAAATTTGGCCTGGGCAAGAAGGTGGAGATGGTAGGTGCCCAGTATTAAAGTGGAGAGAGTAATACACGGATCTATCACAATATGAAGGATATACATTCCAACAAAAATGCATTTGACCTATTATAATATGTAGGTTGAGCTCTAAGGTGAGCAGAGAGTGTGCCCTTAATACAAGCTCATTTTGGAAAGTGGATGACAACACATTATTAGGACATTTTGAATTTGGGATTGGACTATTATTTTTTCAGTTGATTTATTGTGGACTGATGCATATTGTTCACTTTAGTTTTATTTTCTTTGGATGAGGAGTTAGAGCACTACAATAATTTTAATTTAATCATTTTTCTTTCACTTTTGCCTGTGTACCTTTCACTTGGATGGAGGGTGTGGGTCCTCAGGCCTACCCTGAAGTCCAAGGGGGGAGGGTATGTGGCCATTAGGTTTCTTTCTCCCCTGTACCTGGGGGTCTCTCTTCAGGAGAGCCCCTCACCTACAGTAGGCTGCATTCACACTTGAGCCTGGGTTCACATACAGGTGTACCTCGGTTTACAAATTTAACGCGTTCTCTGGGACGTTTTATATTGCCAAAAGTTCGTAAACCGAAACGCGGTTTCCCATAGGAATGCATTGAAAACCAATTAATCCGTTCCAGAGGTCAGAAAAAAGTAAAAAAAGGAGCTGTCACTATAGGTCAGTGGCGGTTTTTAAGTGTAATTACCGTTTTTTTTTTTTTACTTCACTATAGCTCAGAGAATCAGCTGTCACTTTCCCCCCAGCTGAAAGTTTCCTTTTAGTTTATTTCTCCAAGTTAAAAGAAACAGTGTTTCCTTTTAGTTTCCGGAGATAAAAGAAACAAAGTGTCCTTTAGCTCCAGGGAAAGTGACAGCTAATTCTGTGAGTTATAGTGAAGAAACAAAAAAAAAAGCTGGCAATTGCATTTAAAAATTGGCACCATCATACACTTCATATTGCGAAAAAAAAATTGTAAACCGAGGCATTATTTTCAATGGATTTTCATTCATAAACTGAAAATTACGTTAACCGAGGCGTTTGTAAACTGAGGTATACCTGTATATGCGGTGCGGTATATCTCATGTAACTCGCACACAGAAAAAGCACTCCTGTGCAAATGACGATCTAATCGCACCGCATCAAAAACGTGCAGGACCCTTTTTTTGGTCGCACTAGAATCAGATCACAGGGGTATTCACACCTATACGATCCGATTCTGCACATCGCACAGCGTTTTGCAGACCGCTTTCTGGGGTTGTTAACATACACACCTGCAGCGGTTCGCATGAATGGAGTGCGATTCAGATGTGAATTCCGCACTACATCAGTGTGAACCAGGGCTGAGCGTTTTGTAGCTTGAAGTTCCAAAAACGCTCAAACTTAAAAAATCAATTGTTCTCTATGGTGCCTGTTCGTGCGATCAGGTGTGGACAGGCACCATAGAGAACAATTGATTTTTTTTTTTTAAGCTTGAGCTTTTCTGGAGCTTCAAGCTACAAAACACTCAAGTGTGAATGCAGCCTAAGTACTCAGCGGTCAACTTCAGCTGACCATGAGGAGAGGGGTCCCCCAGGTGGACCATGAGTGTACCTTGCCCGTCAGTAGGGTTGTCACCTCATCCCTTAACCACTTCGTGCAGGCGCCTCCCGGCCCTTTAAGAGTTTCAGAAGCCGGGAGGCGGGTGGGTTTTAGGGTCATGTGACCGTTGTGATTCCCTGTCACAGTGGTCACATGATCGGAAAAGGTCCAGATCAAAAGGTGAGAGCGTGAGTCACGAACATATGTGCTGGGAGCGCGCAAAGCGCGAGCTCTCAGCACATATGGATATTCTAAGTGTACGCAAATATGTGGCCGCTCGGCGTCAAGGCCCAGAGGCCGCATATTTGTGTGCGCTCGGCATGAAGGGGTTAAGGCTAGGTTCACATATGTGTGGGTGGTGCCCTAGGGCGGACTGACCATTTGGAAACTCGGGCACTGCCCGAGGGCCTGGGGTCAGTAGGGGGCCCCATGAGATGCCCCTGGTACCTTTTTCATAGGCTTTTTTGAGTTTGGGCAAGGACACAGGGGCCCAGGGGCGGACTGACCATTTGAAAACTCGGGCATTGCCCGAGGGCCCGGGGTCAGTAGGGGGCCCCATGAGATGCCCCTGGTACCTTTTTCATAGGCTTTTTTGAGTTTAGGCAAGGACACAGGGGCCCCATGATCACCTATTGCCCAGGGGCCCCATGAGTTGTCAGTCCGCCCCTGCCGAAACATATATTTTTTTTTAAGCAGAGGCCCTAAAATAATAAATGTTGGGTGATGCAATTTTCTAGGTCCCAGGGGGTTTTTCAAACACAAATTTTATGGAAAAAGTACTCTATAATTGACCCAGGCAAATTCAGATATTCCTCTCCTACATGTAAAAATCAGCATTTTTTTTGGCTAGAAAAAAAAAAATGAAATAGAACCCCTAAACAGGGGTGTCCATAGGCAGGTGCGGGGGTGCGCGCCACACCAGGTGACACCTATTGCACGGGGTAACAACGGACCCGCTCCACGAAAAGGTAAGTTTTAACGTAAGCTGACGATCCCTGCAGGATGGATCGGATCTGCGTATTGAGGATAATGGATCGGACTCTGATTCATTATGCTCCCCAATTCGCAGATCCGATCCATCCAGCGGGGATCGTCGGCTTGCAACCTAACGGGGTTAACTGATCTCTCCACGAGCTCCACGAAAAGGTAAGTTTTAAAGCAAGCCGACGATCCCCACAGGATGGATCGGATCTACAGATTGAGCCAGGGGCGGGCTGACCATTTGGAAACTCGGGTACTGCCCGAGGGCCCGGGGTCAGTATGGGGCCCCATGAGATGCCCCTGGTACTTTTTCATAGGCTTTTTTGAGTGTGGGCAATGACACAGGGGCCCCTTGATCACCTATTGCCCGGGGGCCCCATGAGTTGTCAGTCCACCCCTGCAGGGGCCCACGATCCCCTATTGCCCGGGGGCCCCATGAGTTGTCAATCTGCCGTTGGTGGTGCCACTGCGGATCCGCACAAAAATCAGTGCACCACCCACACAGAAGAATGCAGACTCGCGGGCGGGTGCCATTAATTCTAATGGCACGCCGCCTGCACTGGAAAACGCAATTGTACTGGGAACCAGGGTTCCCGTGCGGGCTGCATTTTCAGAAGTGCAGGGACTTCTGAAAATGGATGGGAGTCCATTCAAATGAATGGGCTCTTGTGCCCGCGCCAAACGCGGCCCGCACGGCCAGATATGTGATGGGGGTAAAAACCGAACACATTAATTCCACAGGTTTTGAGGTTGATTTAAAAACAGATAAGGCACTAGGTGAGTTTAATTACCACCTTAATCAGCCACAGAACCTCTGGAATGAATATGTGTTGGGGTTTAAAGGGATGAGGTGGCCACCGTGTCAGGAGCTGGCGGAAAGGTCCTACTTCTTCGAGAGGGGGACTTGAGGCACGCCCTTAAGTGCGCTTTTTGTTTCGGCAACACCACCGTAGGTTCAAAACAGAAAAAAAAAGAAGCCTGAAGCAATGTGTCCCCACTAGACGATCCCCCTTCTATTCCTGTTTCAGTGACAAATGTAAATGATTTTCTCTCAGATTCAGCTCTGGTGGCCATCGTCATCACTGCAGCTCGGTGAATGGTGAGTCATGAGTGACCGCCTTCTGTTACCACCGTTAAATGTCACCAACGTATACACTCTCTATATATCAATACATAAGTACACCATTATTACACGTCTGCCAATATACGCTTCTAGTCTTCCCCTTCCAATCAGTCTGGAGGAACTTCAATTACGTAAAACCACGTACTACAATTCCCGCGATGCTTTGCTCCAAGCGTATCATTAACTGCGCCACTGCTTGCTCTTCTCCGCAACCTAACTTTACAGCTGATCCTGCCACCTTCTCCGATTGGCTCCGGTAGCCATCGCTCTGCCCAGAAAGCGCTGCTGATTGGCCCATAACTTCTTTCCTCTCCGAGCTCGCGTTGCCAGGGAGCAGTAGTATGAAGTTAGTACGGCCAGCTGTATTCTACAACCCACAGTTGCGCCTTTTACGTGGCGTACACCGTCCTTTAGATTAGACGTTTACGGTAATTGCGTAGTGGGAGAGTGCCCGTTCTGAGAGACAGCCAGGGAGGTAAACACGGGTAACTGGACTGTCAGGGGGCCTGGCCGTTGGGGAAGGAGGGAGACGATATAAACACAATTCGCTGGCCATGAATATGGCTATGGTTTATAGATGTCATGGTTTAGACAGCGTTTGTATGGTGCAGAGCCTGGGGTCTTTGTAGCACACAAGAGTGCTGGTTGTCCCTGTAGCAGATGAGTGGGGTGTTCTGAAGATACCATAAGCATACATGTACTGTGTTGGTATGCAGTGATGAATGTGTGGATATATACATGTCTGTAATGCTGAGACCACTAGGAGTTGGTTAATGGAGAGGCAGCTAGTTAGAAGTTCATTTACAACTGCCAGGTTTCCTCATACCTCTGCATTGCTATATTGTGCATTCCAAATAAAGCTCGTTGATACGTCACTTGTGTTCTTCTGTCCTAGCACATCTACTGTAACAAGTATGTCTCTACTAGGGGCTGATCTATAAAACCTGGAGCAGAAATGCAGTCGTTGCCCGTAGTAACCAGTTAGGTAGAAGATTTGAAATGCAAGACAGGATCTACGGGCAACAGCGTGTTATGTATTTCCCAAATCAGACCTCACTGTATTTTTACTCTTTTTAAATCATGATGTTTCGGTTAATGTTGAATATTTTACGCATCCTTTTCTTTTTGTATATGTAAAGGCATTTGGTTTACCTAATGATGTTTTCATTTTACAGGTGTCTGGGTATCAAAAGGCATGGCAATAGTACAACTCCGGTCAGTGGCACTGTGAACATCCATGTCGTAGGTCCAGCATGGAAGGAATCAACATTGCTCAGGATATCATCCACAGGCAGATCAGGGTATGAAGGACAATGCATCCAACATCCAAATGATGTGTCCTATGTATGTGTGCACTCATTTAGCCACGGTTCACACTAGAATTCTGTACGGGAAACCCGTGATCCTTGCGATCTGCAGCGGGTGTCAGTGCATTGTTAAGAAATGCACATATTTGCCAGCACACTATGGGGTTGATTTACTAAAGGCAAATAAGCTGTGCACTCCAAGTGCACTTGCTCTAGATCTGAGGGGAACATGCAAGAAAATAAAAAAAAACAGCATTTTTGCTTGCATATGATTGGATGAAAGAAATCAGCAGAGCTTCGCGTCATTTCAGAGCTTCCCCTTGGATATAAAGCAACTCCATTTGCAGTGCACAATCTATTTACCTTTAGTAAATCAACCCCCCATGGAGTTGATTTACTAAAGGCAAATAAGCTGTGCATTCTAGATCTGAGGGGAACATTCAAGATAAATAAAAAAAAAAAAAAGCATTTTTGCTTGCACATGATTGGTTGAAAGAAATCAGTAGAGCTTCACCTCATTTCAGAGCTTCCCCTTGGATATAAAGCAACTGCACTTGAAGTGCACAACCTATTTACGTTTAGTAAATCAACTCCCTATGGGGTTGATTTACTAAAGGTAAATAAGCTGTGCATTCTAGATATGAGGGGAACATTCAAGGTAAATAAAAAAAACATTTTTGCTTGCACATGATTGGATGAAAGAAATCAGCAGAGCTTCACCTCATTTCAGAGCTTCCCCTTGGATATAAAGCAACTGCACCCCCATGGGGTTGATTTATTATAAATAAATAAGATGTGCACTCTAGAGCTGAGGGGAGCATTCAAGGTAAATAAGAAAAGCAGTAAGAAAAACAGTATTTTTGCTTGCACTTGATTGGGTGAAAGAAATCAGCAGAGCTTCTCTTCATTTCAGAACTTTCCCTCGGACATAAAGCAACTGCACTTGCAATGCACAGGCTATTTACCTTTAGTAAATAAATCCCCATGTATTGTCGAATAGCGTCTAAATCTTTATTGAAGAACGATCATATCACAGAGGACATAGTGCAACGTTTCAGAGCCTTGCAGAACCCCTTCATCAGGTAGGTGATGATGTCATCATCACATGCCTGACGTAGGGGTTCTGCGCATCTCCAAAATGTTGCCTTATGTCATCTGTGATATGATCTTTTTTCTATAAAGATTTGGATGCTATTCGACGATTTGTGGTGTATTGGTGAATATGTGCATTTGATCTGTGATGTCTGCAGTTCCACCTGGTTGTTACTTCAGCACCTGCTACTCCTAAAGCCTCATTCAGGAAAGTGTACAGTGGGAATATTGACGTTGCTTAGTGCAATGCTAACGACACCGAATCTTAGTACAAAACCACATGAGCAAGCCAGCCAGGAAGCTGTCACCTGTACTAGGCCAATTTACAACCAGGGAATTCCTAGCCACATGTTTGATTGGCCCAGTATATTGACAGCTTCCTGGCTGGCTCGTCCAGGTGGGTTTGGACTAGAGGCCGAACACACCTGAGCTCATCCCTGGCAAAAAAGCAATCATAGACTGTGAGATGCAGTGACTGTACGAATCTTCCTGCACATTCTGGTATATAGATCCATACAGGGACAGATGCACAGCTCTGGACATTATTGCTCTGTGTCCAGAGGTGTGCATGTGTCCCTGTATGGATGTACAGTTAGGTCCATATATATTTGGACACAGGCACAATTTTAGTTTTTTTTTCAGGTATTTACCAAAACATATTCAAGCTATAGTTATATAATGAATATGGGCTGAATGTGCACACTCTGGTTTAATTTGAGGGTATGTACATCCAAATTGGAGGAAGGGTTTAGGAAACACAGCTTTTAAGAATAGCCATCCCCCCTGTTTCAAGGGACCAAAAGTAATTGGACAATTGAATCAAAAGCTTTTTCATGGCCAGGTGTGGGTTACTCCTTCGTTATTTCTTCATCAATTATGCAGGTAAAAGGTCTGGAGTTAGGTCTTAGTGTGGTATTTGCATTTGGAATCTATTGCTGTGAACCTACATCATGTGTTCAAAGGAGCTGTCCATACAAGTGAAACAGGCCATTGTAAGGCTTCAAAAATGAAACAAAGCCAGAGATAGCAGCAGCATTTAGGAGTGGCCAAATCAACAGTTTGGTACATTCTGAGGAAAGAAGAACGCAATGGTGAGCTCAGCAACATAAAAAGACATGGACGTCCACGGAAGACAGCAGTGGTGGATGATCGCAGGATCCTCTCTATGGTAAAGAAAAACCCATTCACAACACTCAGACAAATGAAGGACACTCTCACTCTCCAGGAGGTGGGCGTATCATTGTCAAAGTCTACAATCAAGAGAAGACTTCACAAGAGCAAATACAGAGGGTTCACCACAAGGTGCAAACCATTCATAAGCCTGAAGAATAGAAAAGCCAGATTAGACTTTGCCAAAAAACATCTAAAAAAGCCAGACCAGTTCTGGAAAAGCATTCTTTAGACGGATGAAACTAAGATTAATCTGTACCAGAATGACGGGAAGAAAAAAGTGTGGAGAAGGCTTGGAACAGTGCATGATCCAAAGCACACATCATCTGTAAAACATGTTGGAGGCAGTGTGATGGCATGGGAATGCAGGGCTTCCAGTGGCACTGGGTCATTGGTGTTTAGAGGTATACTGTCAGCCCAGAATCAGCCAAATGCAGCAAAGTTGACTGGATGGCGCTTCACAGTACAGATGAACAATGATCCAAAACACACTGCAAAAGTAACCCAGGAGCTTTTGAAGGAAAAGAAGTGGAATATTTTGCAATGGCCAAGTCAATCACCTGAACTCAACCCAATTGAGCATGCATTTCACTTGCTGAAGGTAACACTAAAGGCAGAAAGACCCACAAACAAAGAACAACTGAAGACAGCTGCAGTTAGAGCCTGGCAAAGCATCAGAAAGGAGGAAACCCAGTCTTTGGTAATGTCCATGGATTCATTTGTTCAATTACATTTGAGCCCCTGAAAATGGAGGGACTGTGTGTGTGTGTATATATATATATATATATATATATATATATATATATATGGTTGCAGTTCCTAATATTTTTACTTAATATTTATGTTCAACCCCTTGAATTAAAGCTGAAAGTCTGAACTTCAAATTCATTTGGATTGTTTCAATTTAATTTAATCTGGTGGCATACAGAGCCAAAAGTATGAAAATTTGTGCCTGTGTCCAAATATATATATGGGCCTAACTGTACATATTTGGATGTGCGAGATGATCCAAGGTGTAAAATAAAAAGTGTCAGGAAATGTATTTTTATCATGTGCATTGGTGTATTCTTTGTCTTTTTCACACATTAACATCAATTTTATGTGTTAACTTGTGCAAGCTTTAATCTCTGGCAAGAGTGTTGTCCCAGAGTGCACGTGTGTTGATTTGTTCATTATTAATCGCTTTCCCACCGCCCTATAGCAGAAATACTGCTACAGGGCAGCAGGTGTGCGCAAGATCACGTGTATATATACGTGATTTCACATTTACGGGTAAAGGGTGCGTGTGCCTTACCCACGCCGCCATGGTCGGCCTCGGCTGTCAATCACTGGGTCCTGGCTGATGATTCCCCACCGGCACCTGGTAATCGCCGTGTATCACGGATGGGGGAGAGACCTGTATGTAAACAATACAGATCTCTCCCCTGTCAGCTCCTGAACACTGCTTTTTTACAGCTCTGCTATGCAGAGCCATACAAAACAGTTTGCTTACAGTGTAAAGCACACACACAGTACACAGTGAAACCGCACACGGCACACTTAACCCTTTGATCACCCCAGATGTTAACCCCTTCCTGCCCAGTGCCATAGTACAGTGTCCGTGCTTTTTATTAGCACTGATCACTGTATTGGTGTCACCGGGGATGTCAGTGACAGTCAGTTTCCCCCCAGTGTCAGAATGCTTGCCGCAGTCCCGCCATAAGTCACTGATCACCACCATTACTAGGATTAAAAAAAAATAAAAAAAATCCAGTATATATTCCGCCATTTGTAGACGCTATAAATTTCACGTAAACCAATTAATTTACGCGTATTGGGATTTTGTTTAGCAAAGACATGTAGCAGAATACATTTTGGCCTAATTTTATGATGGAATTTGATTTTTAAAATTTTTTTACTGGACATGTTTAATAGCAAAAAGTCAAAAATATAGTGACGCGCACTCTAGGCACGTTTGTTTAGTTTTGGTACGCAAATATGCAGCCACAAATTTTTACTTATGCTGAACCATGGCACCAGATCGTAGAAAGCTGAATTCCTGTAAATGGACAGATAGTTTTATGGGGAAATTCGCAAATGTGCTTTTTATTACAGTAATACCTTGGTTTACAAACGCCTCGGTTAATGTAATTTTCAGTTTAGGAAAATAATTGAAAATAATGCCTCGGTTTACGAATTTTTAAAAAAAAATTTTCGCAATACGGAGTTGATGTCGGTGCCGATTTTTAAATGCAATTGCTGGCTTTTTTTTTCTTCACTATAGCTCACAGAATTAGCTGTCACTTTTCCCAGAGTTAATGGAAACTTTTTGTTTCTTTTAAGAAACTAAAAGGAAACATTGTTTCTCTTAACTCACAGGAAATAAACTAAAAGAACACTTTCTTTCTTTTAGCTGGAGGGAAAGTGACAGCTGAATTTCTGAGCTATAGTGAAGGGAAAAAAAAGCGGTAATTACATTTAAAAACTGGCACCATAATAAATAAAACAAAGCGTGGAGTCACCCCTCCCATCCATACCAAGCCCTTCGGGTCTAGTATGGATTATGAGGGGAACTCTGACACCAAAATTAAAAAAAAATGGCGTGGGGGGTCCCCTCCTGAACCATACCAGGCCACATGCCCCCCCAAAGCACCTTGTCCCCATGTTGATAGGGACAAGGGTCTCTTCCCTGTGAGGGTCTGTGGGCAGGGGGCTTGTCGGAATCTGGACGCCCCCTTTAACAAGGGAGCCCC